TTGCAATTTTTAATCTGACAGGATAGAGAGTTCGCCTTCCAATGAGGTGAACCTGCTTCGAATTTCAGCTATGGCTGGTCAATACAAATTCCGCATCCCGCTTGCAGCGATCACAAGGCAGACGCAATATATCCCCGTGATAGACGCGTTAGAGTCTCCTCGCACCTTGGCTATCCGAGGAAGGTTTTGTGGTTTTCCTCTCCATGTAACTCAAGTGTGAGTTAGTTCCATCAAAAAGACCTCCACGACGACAAATTTCTTCCTGTACTTGATCCAGGAGTTCCCTCGTCTTCTATATTGGGTTTAAAATTACAAGGTTACGGTGTTGAGCATTGTTCAAAAGTTTGTCGGCTGTTTAACGGCAGTTATAAAATCAAGCAAACTCAGTCGTGGTAATCACGTTCATTTGTTTCTCAAGAAAAAAATACATAAATGAAATGGTTTAATTATTATTTTTTTACGTAATGCAAACTAGTCGGATAAATGCATTTTCTTTAATACGTTAAATGCCACGCTAATTTTACATAGGTTGCCCGTCTGGCCAAACGGTAAATAACTACAAACTAAATTTCCAATTTCAGACAGATTTTGCTAGTTTTTTAAAAGGTTTACATGACATATATACTTTACTTTACTTTATTTACAAAAATTGAGCACCTGGGCCGCGCAGAACGCCCATATCCCCTACATCATGTAATGTTACGGAAAAATTATTATAATAAACAGCTTGCGTTCAGCATTTTATGGGGTGGCTGGTATTGGATATCAAGCACCTTTGCTTGAATAACTGAAAGAAAAAGGAAAATAATAAGTAGCAACTTGCTGTAAATTGTGAATTGGCAGTAGTTTGGTTGTCAACGTGAGGGTAACGTAGGCCAGGATTTCAGCATTGGCATTGTATTTCATGCTATAGACAATGGATGCTTTGGATAATTTCTGTAGGCTATGCATGCTGGAATTGAAGACTATTATTTATGCTGTTAGTTGTAGTATGAGGCATCGGAGGTGAAGTGAGCGCCTATTGGTCTTAGTTTTTCGTCTTTTTTATAGTTTTCGAAGTTAAAGATTTTATGCATTTAATTTCTTTGTATATTCGGATAGAGACGGAATTTTGAGATCTTCACGTATATTTGAAATGCGTATGAGCCATCTAGCACGGGTAATTTTTCTGAGTATTTTATTTTGACATTGGTTGAGGTTTTTCATTAGGTGTTCGGGTATAGTAGTCCAGGCAGGTGGCATGATATATCTGAAAAATGGTGAATTGTATAAGCCTACGAATTGTTTAGAAATAGTGGTGGATAAAAATATATTAAACCAAGAATCGCAATTAATAAACTACCACTTGAAAAATATTTATTCGTTGTCCGGAGCAAGTTGGCATCTCTGTGCATATAAATAAAACTAACTTCGCGTGTTCTATATTGCATTAATATCTTCAAACCATTTTAGTAACGATAATAATGTAAAAAAATTTAAAATGTACTCGAATTATGTCTTTCAAATAATCTTGGCTTTGCCGGTCACCGGTGACTCCCGTGTAGCTACGAGCAAACTCAGTGCCGGTCACCGGCGACCTTCATGGCATTCAACGTGTTAAAAATGCACTTTTGAAATCACGCAAAATTCTAGATTGAAGGAAAAGTATGTTGCTTTTATTTATGTTCTTTGTCAGTGAATGTACTATGCATTTGAAACATGTGTCAATTTTTACAGAAATATTTTCTCGTCATTTTGACTACAATCAAACGCCATTTTATTAAATACATTGCTTACTTCTTTTTTTTCTTTTATAATTTAATAAAACGAAAATCAATTACTTTCCGAAGGTCTACCTTCTACGCATAAATAATGATACAACAATTCCGAGGTGTCCTAATAGTCTTTTTTTTTTACTTGTTTCTTCTTTTTTTCTCTTTTTTCAATGAATATGAAATATTTCACGCATTTTGTGGTTAGAATTTATAAGTTTGTGCTATTTTGTATTTTCCTCATACTTTTCAGGAGTGAGACTTTTGAAATAACTGGAAAATATTAAACTTATTTCGTGTCACAAAAGATATTTCGTCGATAAAAAATAATTTTCAAGAACTTTAACAAACTGTTTTTATTGCATTGAAATTAAATGAGAGTTTCAAAATATTACAAAGCAATAAATGATGTATACAGTTCTTATCCACGACGAGCACGGAGAGTCTGAACATCTTCAGCATCGTTATTGTGGGCTCCAGCAATACTAAGTATTTGGTCACCTAATTCTTTGATCTCTGAAATTATAAACGACACATATATATATATATA